TCCAGGGGAAAATAGAAAAGGAATATCAGCAGGTATGTTTATGTCCGCACTGGTTCCTATTGTGACCCATCTTTTACTGATCTCGCTGTCTCTATTCTGGCCGGATAAAGCAGCACATCTGCTGCTGTGCTGAGCGACGGTTCAGCTCTATTTTGGCTGAACCTGATAAAACTTTATCAAATGGAAAAACTGCAAACTGAGCTATTCCATCCATCTCCTCAGGTTTTACAGACTTTTGAGGAAATTCCGTTGTACAGTGTCCTGGAACAGATAAAAGAAAAACACAATCTGGAGAAAGTCAAGAAGGTGAGTTTGCTAGTAGCAGCATTGGTTAACAGCTCATTTAAATTAACTGCTCTTTTTTTCTTTGAAGCCATGGTACCTGGATGCTCTAGATTTGGGGTTCTTGCTAAAGCAAATTGCTGTAATGAAATAACGGAAATATTTGTGAAAGTTGGAAGTTGATGACGTTGTCATCTGGCCCTGTTTTAGCTGAGATTCATCTGTGTGATCGAAAGATAATCTAGGACAGTTCTTAGACATAGTGCAGGAGGTTTCTTTTCAGTGTGTTACCTTCACATGGGAGGGTGTTCAGGGTGAGATCTTCCAGCCATGTTGTTCCACTGATGAGCGCTGCATGTGAACGTGGAATGTAACTGCTCAGTGAAGTTTACTTTTAACCCACTCTCTATTTTTTTTCCCCTTTTCAGAAACTTGTGAGAAATGCTGCTTTTGGAAACTTTTTTGGCGTTATGGCTCTGTTTCAATCTGGCCGGCTTATTAAGGTAACATTCCTGTTATGTTGTTTGTCAGTACTGGTTCTAGGGCTGTCTGCGTTGTAAAGGTAGTCTAGAGGGAAAGGCTGTATCATTGGCTGTTGATGAGATGGGACTTGAAGCATCAAGTTCAGTTCATTTCTTTTGTCTTATTCATGGACTTTTTGTGGTTTTTAAATGTCTATTCCTGAATAGAGTATAGGAACCATGTCAGGTAGTACAAGAGGTTCCTACGTCCCCTTGAAGGACAGGATCTGTTACTGTATACAGCCAGAAAACAACATTTTGGGAAAAGCTGAGTGACCTATCAGGAAGCAATTGCGTAGGTTTCTTACTACAAATAAGCCTGTACCTGAGCCTTCAGCTTAATCTTGCATACTGCTTTACCTTTCCTTTCTAGGACCAGAAAGCTCTGCTGGAGAGCATCCAGCTTCTCCAGCAGCTGGCACATCACCAAGCACACCTCAGAGATCTCCCTCGCAAAACTCTTATTGACATCATGTCTGAGGTACAGCCATAGCGTGTGGTGGGTGGGAGGAAGGAGGGCTTGGTTTCAGGGACTGCTTTTTCCTTAATTTGTTCATAGTTGATAATTAAATGAGGTGATGTGGAAGTGTGAGTTTAAACTGGGAGCTGTTAACAATATTGTCTGTGGGCAGATGCTTTTATTCTGGGAAGGATGCTCTGGTTTAGCTTAGTCTGATTTCATCGTGGACAAAGTCTTTTTTTTCTTTCCCTGTTGACTTGCTTGGATGGTATGTTAGACCCTCTGGTCTTTTGAATAGAAGTATGCTGAAAATTCTGGACAGCAAACCTTCTTATTTATGCACCAAGCCTGGGCGTGTGGGCTGTTGGGAGTGAAAGGGTGTAGGCACATGGAATAAAGTACTAAATACTGAGTATGTAAAAGAAGAGTTTGTTTTTTTCCTTCTTCTATGTGGATATCATTTTTAGATGTGAAGACTAAGAGTGTTAAATGAAAATTAAATAATGTTTTGTGTGGAATTGTTCTGTCATTTAGTCTTGATATTGGGTTTAAATGTATTTTGAATCCAATCTTTAAAAAACACAAAGCAGTTTTTGTGCTTGTCTTATTGATGAAAATGTTGGATCCAGTTTTTTCTAAAACCATTGAACACAGTTGCTTACCAGAAAATCCTATTGAAACAAGTAGCTTGTTTTGGGGACGTATAATTAAAAACTAATAGGAGAGCATTTCTTCCTCCCTGGGCTGCACAGCTGTACAGACAGGAGGAGTCAGACAGCAAGAGAACAACTGCAGCTGGAATCAGTTGACCAGAATTGCTGTCTGGTGACAACATGTTGTCCGGCTCCATGTGGTTAAGCACCTGGGAACTGTATGGCAGTACTAGACACATCCATGGTTTATATTTGGTTGTGTCACCTTAAAGATTGTTTCTAAAGTTTCAAAACACTGCAAGGTTTTAGTAAAATGCAGATATCTGAATATACTACACAGCAAGTTTATGGAAATGGCCTCAAATGTTTCTCATACCCTTTCACTTTCATTCCTGTTTAGGTTCCTGAACCGGTGTTTGAGGAGGTCCTGTTTGGCATCGTGCAAAGTGACCTCGCTTCAGCCTTCACATCTCCAGAAAACCTGCACCTTTTGCTTGTGGGCATACAGAAATTCCCTGGTGTTCTGAAACCTAAAAATCTGAAGAAGCTGTTTGGCTCACCTACTGTTGTAAATAAGGAAAATATTCCCAGGTAGGTTCTTAAATAAGAAGTGTTAAATGCAACATTCTCGGTTTCATGGCTAGCAGTGAGAGACATTGTGGCTTTCATTCTGGTACCTGCCTGTATTTGCTGCTGCAGATGCTGTTGTTAGGTGCTAACTGTTAGACAGGTTCCTAAATTAGAGCTCTGTCATTTCCCCCAAGACGCACAGCCTGCAGTGCTCAGGGAATGTTCTGTGTCCTTCAGCAGGATGAGTTTGGTCTTCAGCAATCCCCTTCCAGGCTGTATGTCTCTTCCATTATTTTCTTTCTTCTTCTAGACTTGTAGAGCTTCTGCAAAGTGCTGCCAAGTCTGAGAAGAAGGACAAGAAACTGCCAGGTGTAGTGTTTGATTTGCTGCAAGTTTCCCTGAGGGAAGGTGCCTTTAAACTGTTCTGGGAAGAAGGTGTGGAAAATGGGCTATTGAAGGAGAAGTCAGGACCTGTGAGGTTTGTTTTAACATATGTTTGTTGTTTTTCATATGATCCTTCTATTTCTTGCCCCAGTCCTGCTGCTGCTGTCCTGTGTTTGGATGGAGCATATGGTTTCTCATGAACAATATGAGAACACTTACTTTTGATTCCTTAGGTATTCATGAGAAACATTATAGGGAATATAAATCCAGGAGTTAGTAAGATTTTTCTTAGAATTGTGACATAAACCAAATTTGGGGTTAAATTTAACTAGGGCAGCACATAAAGGTGATGTACCTCACTGGGCATAAAGGTGTCCGAAATCTGTAACGTGCTCCTACAAGCTTGTCAGAGGAGCGGTACTGCCCCTTCTTTCTAAGTGGTTGAGAGGGAGAGTCATTTGGCTTTGTGTAATTTAAGAAGGAGAGCTCCTGTGTAGACAAACCCTAGCTCTGAAATGTGTGGCTAATACTGCTGGACTGTGGGATGGACTGAATTAAAATCCCTGTATATGTTTGGGTTCTGACATGGTCTGTGTTCTTACGTAGGATATGGCTGTGGCTGACATCATAACAGTAGTGGTTTCAGCTCCTTCTCCAAGTCTGGATCTTACTTAGGGTTATTTAAGTTGTCTGGTGAGACTCATACTGTGCAAAAGTGCTGCAAAATCCAGATTACAAATCTGTGAGCATTTTGGGGGAGCATAATTTAATTTGGACCATAGCAAGGCACTCTGCGGCCAGGTTTAAATCTTTCTTAGATCAAGTATTTAAAAGTTGTAGAGGTGCACCCGCAAAAAGTTTTATTAACGTACTACACAAATACCATAGTGAAAAGGAAGCTTGAACAGTTTAAGTCTTGTTTTACTTGGCTTGAGTAAGTCTGAAAATACCCTTTATATGTTCAACAGTGTTGCTTTTTTAGCCTGATTTCCTTCAGAAATGAGGCTAGTGCTGTCCATCTGATAACTCCTGAGCCCATTGGACAATTCTGACCAAATTTGACATTGCTGTCAAAACTAAGTAGTGTAATCAAAAACTAAGCAAGTTTTTATTAGGACTGTGGAAATAAGTATCTGGGGAGAAGAGATCCAGGAAGTGACAGAGGAAGGAACTGGTGGTGAGGATTCACCTATTTCTAGACAGCAGAGGACCTGTTACAGGGAGAGATCTTAACAGCTATGTTAGAAGAAAAGCTTTGGGCAGTAAGATTTATGAGCACACAATCAATGAATTTTTGACTCCTGTCTTCCTGTGTGGTTCATGTAGCTCGCCCCACCACTTATTCTCCATTTTACCCTTGTGTGTGGCTTTACTGCTGTGCCTCTACCTGAGGGAATCTTTGTTTCCACTCAGTTACATGTGCTACCGGTTGCTGGGCAGCGCTCTCCCCTTGTTGTCTCTGGATCAGCTACAGATGGTTTTCAAAGGGAAGGTGATGCAGCACTATGGAGAACACGTGGTAACGACTCAGGTAGGTCTTCTGGAAGTACTCGTGCTCAGGACTGAAGACCCTGTCCTGAGCAGAAGTCCTCTCTGCCCCCCTTAGTAGTTTCACATTGTCTTGTATAAAAAGTTTATGTAATTTTAGACCTCAGACTCTTACTAAAAGCAAGGTTATTGTATGATTTCTCTTTGGAGTGGGCTGAGTATAGACTCAGTGTTTAATCATCACTGTCTATTTGTGTATTTTTCACTCAGACATTTTAAGGGTTCTGAAATTGTTCAGCACTGACCCACCTGCTTTCACTGATGTTGCTCAGAAAGCTCTAACAATGGGGGAAGCAGAGGAAGGGCAGCCCTCAGCATTTTGACAATGTCGTGCATCATCCTTTAACAGACCTTTTGATTTTGCCTGTCCAGAAGCTCCTTATTGTCTGTTGTTGTGCTGGGTGTTGCATGAACATTTGAAGGCAAAGACAAAAAGGCACAACTCATGCTTTTGTCTATGCTAGTGCTTGTTTCAATAAACACATCTGAGGTTTAAGCACAAATTTTATTTAGGAATTGGATTTTGGAACTCCTCTTTCTCCTTCCCTCCTGGGAAGCCAGCAAACCCCACAGCCCTGCAGTAAAGGAAGGAAGAATGAGACATGAAAACAGGCTTTGGCTTGGCTTTTTGTGGGAACATAATCCGAAGCCTCCTCATGGGGGCCCAAAAATCATTACTCTTTCTTGGGAGGAGTAGGACTTTTCAGTCTTTCTGTTCTGGTATCAAAGCAGCAATAGATCTGTGGGTTTGCTATGAAAATAATGCTTACCATGGTTCCTCCCTGTATGGATCAACTTTCTCCAGGGCTTATCCACTGACTCAGTTGTTTTTCTTGTTCCTTGCTTTTTATGCTTGTTGCACAGTTAATTATGCTGTGTTCTTCCATGTCCCTCAATAAATTTATTATTTTGATTCCTGCCTGAAACATACAAATCCGCTGAAGACAATGATTGACTAAATGGAAAGAAACCCCTTGATATTATTGATGATGAGGAAGTAGAAAAGATAGTAGTTTGAATTTGTTGGTTTTGTGGGTTTATTTGGTTTTGTAACTTGACATGGGTTGTTTGTTTTGGAAAGCAAATAGTGTTATCTTGTACTTCCTTATGGGATTCTTCTTGTTGTTGGAGATGGAACTAGACAAAGCTCGAGTCTGATATTTACTGACAGTTATCTTCCTGAATCCACTTTTTTCACCAGGGGAGCGGATGTACTTGATTTGCTTTTGTTGAGAGATGATTGATGAAATCCTGTTGTGAGTTATTAGCCTACTTACAGCAGTCTCTCCTGGAGTTTTTCTTCCAGTTTTCATACTGGTGCAGAAGTACTGAGTTCAACAGTGGAAGCCTGAGTTTGCTGAGTTGTGTCCTGTGTGAGATTCCATGTAGAGATGTTTATATTATGCCTCAACGCTTCAGAGACACCAGGGAGAGGAGGTGGATTTGTTCTACCCACTGTAGTTCAGCAGGCTCCAGGGCTGCTAGACAAGACCAGAATTGTTGTGGAAGAGTTTCCAAAGTGAGGGGAAGTCTAAGGCAGATCATGTGAGGAACACCCTGGACTTCCACCCAAAATCAGAGCTGATCAGCCTTGGAGCTCAGCTGCACTGCCAGTGTGTGGTCCAGCCCGCTGGAGGACCATGACTTGAGGTTGATGACCTACTGTATGCCATATGGCAAACATTGAGGCACATGACTTTAATTTACTTACTGCAGTCGAATCTGTAAAGTGATTCGTACATACAAAGACACTTGGGCTCAGTGCGAGGTTCCTAACTGCTTGTTTGACTGTGTTTTTCAGCTTCCAGATCGATTTAAGTTTGCTCCAGAGATGGAAGGATATATAGATGAATTTCTGAGCAGCTGTGATGACCCGGAGAGGCAGCTGGCAGTGATGATTGGCTTCTCTACTCTCACCAATCAAGGCTATCCAGTGTTGTCCAGCTCTTCCAGGATAGTCAAACACCTGCAGCCAGTGGCATTGCAAAATTACATTGACTGGCTCAAAGACATGTTCCTCAGGCCAGACTTTGACTGTTGTTTAGACTTCTCAAGTAACCGACAAAAACAGAACCAGGGAAATGTGAACATGTGAGTGTATAGATGATGCACCTTCCTCTTTCTGTCCTGTGGTTAGGGTAGCTACCTGTGTGAAGTCTGGTCTGAACAGCCGATGTTTGCTGGTTCTCTTGCCGTGAGTTGATGATTGTTGCCTGTTCTATTTTCTCTGTCCCGGAAGGTTTAGCCCCAGCATCTGGTTCTTTTGCTGGGACCAAATTAAATTCTGCAAATAGGAGCAAACACAGTGAGAACCAGCCAGCTTGACCAAATCAGACTGGGTCTATAAAGAAGCCTTTTCTCTTGTTTTTCTGGCCTTGACAGCTGCTTTGGCAAAAATGTCCAGTGGCTTCTTTTCCCCCTACAGACTGTGAGGTCTTCATAGGAATTACGCATCCCTTTTATCTGACTGTTAAACTGGCCTTAGTGCTCTTGTCTCTTTGGCCCACACCAAAGCACCCACTTCCATGTCTCAAGAGTAGCATGTAAATACTTATATCCTTGATGGGCATTTGTAGCAATTTCTAGCTAGGAAAACTTCCCAAGAGAAAGTTCTGTTCTCCTTGGTGCTGCTGCTTGCTGAATACCCGCAGCTTGGTGCTGTGGGCACTGGGTTACCTGCAGGGGCCTCTTCCAAAGATGATGTAAGCTGTTAAAACAGTATGTCTGTGTTACTTGTGCTCTCCTGACTGCTGTGGTTTTTGAAGTGCTTTTGGGGTAAATAGACTGGCTGTTGCACAGTAAAAAGCAAACTTGGGAAGATTGGTATCTCTTCTTATGTGCCTGTTGCTTTCTTACTCTGTGATTTTGCCATCTTCAGCGTAAAACCTCTAAATATCTGGAAGTCACCTCTTACTGCAGTGGATTGTGTGGGTTGTGTTTATTTTGGGATAGTGTTCAGACTACTGATTGTCTCCATTTCCTTATTGAAAGAGCACAATATAAGATTGTTCGATTAAGAAAATGGATCATCCACCGACTTGCTAACATCGTTGAAAGTGCAGCGAAAAAAGAAGAGAGCCTTGTGATGGACATTTCCAGGTGAGAATGATTGACTTAATGCCACACATGCTTGAAATAATTCTATTTAGCTCTGTAGCAATGTTCCAGACAAGCTGTCCCCATGACAGTAGGCAAATCCAGTAGTGGAAATATTCCATAACATAAATTGCTTAGGTGAACAGGTTCTGGTTTCAAAATACCTTCTGCAGACTTGGAGAAACTCGTGTCATAAGTAGTTCAGGCACTTAAAATCACCTTAGTCCCATTTGTTTTCAGTAAATTTTAGGTTCCTGGTTACCTAGACTGCTTGAAGATACTACTCGTAATCTTTACATCAGATCTCCAATATTTACAGATAAATATTAAGAATATGACCCAAATCTGACGGTCTGAGCATTGTATTGTGTGGCCTCAAGCGTTTGCATTTCACTTCTGTGAAATCCTGATCATCCTTCTCTCTTTTTTTACCCTGTGTACCCTGAGGAAAGGGTCTTATTGTAAGTAGTGACTTTTTTCAGTCCTCAGACAATCTTGAATAAAAATTGATGAATATGTGGCGTTATTTGGTTTGCATGCATGGGCTGGTTTTGCTTTGTTTTGACCAAGGTGGCTCTTAATTTTGTTCTTGTTTTTGTCCATTCTAGGTTTTGCTTATTCCATGCTTTCTTTGAAACTAAGAAAAAGACTTCCCAAATACGTGAGGCAAATGTCCTTCCATCCAAGCCCATAGATGAAGAGGCTCATTCAGTGGCAGAAAACTACTTCTTTGGGTAAGGATTTTGCTTGCATGCTTTAAGATTGGAAATTTATTTTGTTTTCCTGAGGTTAAGATCAGCCTGTGAATGCCAGAATGAGCAGTTTGGTGTTGTGAGCTGCTATGAGAGCATTTGTTTGACTCCAGGACCAGGGAATGGCTTTTTTTAAGGAGATCCTAGATGAATTTCCCAAAGATCCTTAATTTTTGTTCAATAAAACCATGATTTTACATGTCAAACCTGCTGAGTATGTGTGTGATGATCAAGGTAGGTGTAGAGTTGAACTTGGACTGCTTTTTCTTATAAGATTTCCATTGCCTCTACTGCAAGCTACAAGTGGAAGAAGCCAAGAGAGAGGTGGTGGAGTTGTGCAGGTTGCTGTTGGCTTTCTGTCTGCTCTGCACGTGAGCTGCTGATGGCTCTGCATCCTCCCTGTGCTAAGGGATGGGGAGTTATTAATTATAGCTGCTTCTAGATAATTGCCAGAGCTGGTGCTCCAGGTTTGTGTACCTCAGTATAGGGAAAGCAGAGGGCATGGTGGGACACAGAATGGGAAACAGTCAAGGATAATAGTCAGTGTCCTTGGGGGCACCAAGACAACAAGCTGTACGTTGCTGTGCTTGGATACGTGCATGGGTTGAAATTTAAGCTCTTTGAATCTGGTCACTCACTGCATCCCAGAGCTCTGGGGTGAAAGTGCTCTACTGGTGGCCGTTTTGAAAGCATGAGAAAGCCATCTGGTTCCTGTGGCAGTAACACGCTGGCTGTTTTTCTGCAGGTTACTTCAGACTTTAAACACCTTGACTGTTCTGGGGGATACAGCAAAGGCTGCAGCCTTGAGGGAGAAGCACATCCACGGTGTGACTGCAGATGGGAAGCTGTGGATCTTTCTCCTTGTTGAGTATGCTAACAAGCTGCTCTCCAGTGAGCATGTCAGACCTGTGAAGCCTTTTACCGAGGGACAGAGGGATGCCTGGGAGAGGTGAGAGGCTTGGGAAGCTGGGTGCAGGGTTGGTGTGGTGAGGAAGGTGGAAAATTCCTAGTCTGAGTCTCTCTTTGGGCCGGTAAAAGAGAGATTCTACTCTTTCCTCCTCCTGCTGCTGTTCTGGCTGCTGTAGCAGAGCCATTTCACAGGCGGTGGCAGTTCTGTTTCTTCCCTTTGAGTATCCTGTATGCCTGTGGCTGGGTTTCAGGATGCCTCCCTGTTTCTCATCGCTGTGCTCCTTTTGTGTGTTAACTATGGTGGCCATGTCCTTTTATCTTTTTGCTCATAGTCCCTCTCCCAAACATGGTTGTAACTTTGGTAATATTTTCTCCTAAAAATGCCTGTACTAGCTTCTCAGTGTATTTTTTTGTGCTCTTCTCCGAGCTTGATTTTCCATAAAGGTCTGTGCCTCAGCTGTAGTATTAGAATCCAGCCTGCCCAACTGCATAGATTTTTATAAGCCACACAGGGTGAGATACTATTGTTGGGTTAAGATTGTGTTCTATACATATGTCCAGTTTCAATAAATTAAACATTAGATACAGAAAGTGGGACTGTAGATTTGGTCATGTTTTTAGTCTGATCATAAGAGAGGACTTGCTGTTGTAATTGTAAAAGACTCAGCAGGATTTCTTTCTTCAGAACACTTCAGTCTGTGAAGAGTCTGCAGAAGAAGGAAAATAAATCAGACAGTGCCAAAGTCATTGCTTTCCAGCAACTTCTGCTTTTAATGGCCATTCATCTTTTCAAGGTAAGACCTATGAAGTGTATTTGAGTAGTGTAAAATGGGTTGATAGTTGGGCTTTCTGAACACTGAGCTGGAGAGTTTCTTTGTGTTCAGAGATCCACTCTTTCACAGCTTCTGGCTTCTGAAAATGGGCAACTGGCAGCTAATAAACTGTGATTCTTACACTGACTGTAGACAGCGACTTAACAGGGGCAAAGCTTGGCCTGAGCATTGGTTTTGCCCTAGTTTTGCTGCTGAGTGGAACAACTTTTGTATTTTCTTCTGCAAAGGGGTTGTAGCAGCTGATTCTAATTTCTGTACCTATTTAGAGTGGTCCTTAGCTTCAGGGTATGTTCCTTCTGTGTTGCTGTTGGTAGTGGGATATTCAGGGTGTTTACTCTGCTTGTGATCAAACAGAATCAGTCTGAAACGATGGATGTTCTGAGTGACCTCCTGAACTGCACGGAGAGGGCATTCAGCAAAGAACATAAGAAGAAAAAGACTGGTGAGTCCTTTCCTACAGAAGGAAATGGAGTGGGGTTGTTAATGGTCTATCAAAAGCCAGAAGATGGCAGTTCTGCGTTAGTGAAGCACTCTGGCTGCATTGGCTCTGGCTTGATGCAGTTATCTCCAGGAGAATCCCCTCCCCTTCATTCTCTTTTCTTGTCTTTCTAAATCTCTTGCTCCAGCTCTCTATCCACATCCTCAGTGGATTGTGTTCCTGTGTGCCTCATACAGGATAGATGAGCTTCAGAGCTGGCCATTGCTCACCTGAGCAGTGTCCAAGGGAGTTCACTCATTCTGAGTCCTGTTCTGGCCAAGAGCTTGACTGAAGTGGTGGTATCTTCCCAGGCAAAGCTCTGGGCTCTCCTAGCAGCTGGCGGGCTTGAAACTTAGTGCTTTCAGAGCTCAAGTTCTGGGCAAACTAAACATGTCCTGTGTGTAGATACAGCCTGTTTGCTGATTTAGGCTGGTCCTCATTTACAGCCTGTGGAGCTAGTTGGTACTTGACCGGGGGAGAACCTGGTTTGGTCTTTTGACTTTCTTACTAACTCTAGTCTTTTTGTTCGCCTTAAATTTATGTAAACTTGAGGGTACTGTGACAATAAAAGCTGTAGTTCTATGGTGACTTGGTTGTGTGTAGATCAGTATTCCCAAACTTTTGGATTAATGGACTACTTGCAAATGTCAGCACTTTTCATGGGCTGCTGTGACTCCTGGTTTCATTGGAAACACTATAAAATGATGATACTTCTGCTGACTGGCTGCTGATAGCTTTAATGTGGCCACGTAGGTGTCACATGGTTTGCAGAACTGTTAATCTAAGTAATAATTTAATGAATAGTAGGTTTGTCACCTGGTAAGGCTTTGCAGTGGCCTAAAGACACTTTCAGGCATGTTTCTCCCTGTGGTTAGTAGCCTTCCGACGCAACTACAATCTTTAGCTTCACACCTGATTATTTCTGGTCTGTGCCGCTGAGTGAGTACTTCTGATAGTCAGCTAGAAGGACTATCTTCATTTCCTTGGTGAATTTTTCTGCAGTCTATTTTTGATGTGCTAGTGCCGTGGTTTTGCCCCTTCTTGTCACTGTTTGTTTGTTCATGTGCAGACAATGCAGAGCCAGGATGGGTTGAGGTGATGGTGGAGATCCTTCTCTCCCTCCTTGCCCAGCCCAGTCTACTCATACGTCGGATTTCCAAGAGCGTGTTTGTGCGGATATGCCCTAACCTGACCAAAAGGGGCTTGCAGCTGATTCTGGATGTAAGTGTGGCACTAGTAGGATATTTCACTGTTTGTCTGTCTTGTCCCTAACAGATACACAAACATGTCTCTATTTTTGTTTTTTTGTTTGGTTGTTTTTTTTAACGAGAGCCTGAGGTCTGCTAACTTTAAGCTGTATTCTTGGGTAGTTTAGGCTGAAGAAATTCCTGGGTCAGTTTATATAGCTGGTAGATTTTACATGTGAGTATACACGGTAACAACTTCTTTTTTCTAGAAAGGCTAAACATAGAGGTGCTAAAAGTAAGTGACACTGAAAATCTGAATTGGTCATGCCACTGGGTAAGGTGGTGCCTTCTGAGAGTAATATGTGGATTGCAAAGATGAGCTGTCAGGTACTTATATGATGAATCTAATATTTCATTTGTAACAAATCAAAATGTGTGATATCACCAACCGCTTCAGTTTTCTCCACCTTTTTTGTTCCTTATAGAGAGAACTTAGCATGTTGACAAACATGATATTATAAGCCAGAAAGTTGAATACCCTTACTTATATTCATTATTCAATTGGCTTACTGTGCCAGAATTCCTGTCTGTTGTACTTAATAAGTGGATCAAAACAAAACACTGGAAAAACACAAGTCCCTCTTTTTTGCAGGTTCTTGACCCATACCAAGAGCAAAATGAAGAAAGTGCTGTTGTTGTGATGGAAGAATCAGACAAAAGGATCAAATCTGCACGGGACACGGTAACTGATGTGTCATTGCCAGTGACAAATATTCTTCAGACTTCACTGTTTAAAAATAATGTTTCTCCCGATTTGTGGTAATAAACATAATTGCATTTCTCTGTCTTGTGTAAAATGGCAGTTGCTCTATTCAGATTTATCTTAAAAGTGCGACACACAAATAGCTTGTTGAAAGTGCACGTTTGTTAGTCTCTTGGCCTTGAAGGAAGATGCTGGTGTAGGTCTGGCTGTTTGAATAGATTGAAGAGAAAAAATGACTGCATCCTGAAACTAGTGCAGGCCTCTCTTTGGCAGTCACAGACCAAATCATTGCTGTGATGCACAGCCGTCTGAATTCAAGATCTCTGGTTTTAAGAACAGCAGAGATTCCAGACACAAAGCATTACAAGCATGAGCAGAAAGGAAGGAGTGTCAGGTGGGGGCTGTTATTTCAGATATTCTGTGGAAGCTTTTTGATACTCATTTAATATGACAGAGAAGTCTGTATTATGTTCTGCTTTTATGTCTTGTGAAGACCTGGTACCTTGTTATCTGGAGTGTCTTGAATCTGAGGTCTGGAAGCAAGGCAGTGGGGTGAGGGGAGGCTTGAGTGTTTATTTCTGAGCACCTGAGGATTGAGTGGGGCTTGAAGAAGGGTGGAGTCAGGAGATAATCTTTTCTTCCTCAGGACGAGGAAGGAAGTGAGGACTCCTCAGATGAAGGTGACACTGAGGAAGAGAATGACAGTGGAGATGATGAAAAGAATGAAGAAGTTGATGAAGATTTTCGCAGTCAGCTGATGAATGTTCTCCAAGAAGGGAATGCATTGGTATGTTTTCATTGCCTACCTAGCTACAGATACCAGGAGGTTTGGGGTGGTGAAAGATTATCTAATGTCCACATCCTGTCTGAGCCCATGCAGTGATAACCCTGGCAGTCATCTTTGTAAGGCATTTGAAGCAGGAGGTCAGGATCTTCAAAGCAAGCTGTGGGAATAAGTCGCTTGATCTTTTATTGTTAGTGTGTCTTGAGTACTTCTGCTTGTCCAGTCTAGCCTGTTAACTTGTATTGCTGCCTGTAATAAGTAAGATTGATGTGAACGAAAGCACTGAGATACTGTTACATGGTGCCTGTATTGTCTGGCCTGTGTGGAAGAGTGTGTTCCCTGTAGGCTGCTCTGGAGACTTGTTGTAGCAGCGCTGTAGTGTGGTTTAATGATTCCTGTAAAGGCTGCAGACATGGTAATATCAACCTCTTCATTGAAGGAGCAACAGCACAGTGTCAAAACCTCAGCTTCTTTTTTCCAGTCCTATAGCTTCACATGTTAGTACTGTGCAGTCAGGATTACCTGATAGGAAATATGAGCTTGATTTCTCACTGATCTGAACATCTGTTTTCCCTCCCTATGGTGGTGTTCTGGGTCTAGAGGAATCTGTGTCCCTACTGTGATTGTGAGTCTGCTCTTGGCTGTGGTTCCCTCCCCACTGTCTTTCTGAAGTACATAAAATGATATATTTTTGCATTCTGAAAAGGGAGGAGACGAGAGTGATGAAGAGCTGGATGATGAGGCCATGATGGCTCTTGATAAGAACATCTCAGCCCTTTTTGCAGAGCAGCAGAAACGGATCCAGGCAAAGAAGGATGAGAAAGACAGGATGCGGAAAGAGAAGATCCTGCGGAGGGATTTCAAGATTAAGGTGAGATAGAAGTGTTTGGTGTGAAGACCTCTGGCTTACTAGCACATTAGTTGTAGCCTACTGCATGCCATGAGCTACTTAACACTAAACAGCTTGAACATTCATGTATGTCATAAGCTCCTTGAGGTTGGGACTGGATTGTTCTGGCTTTGTACAGCACCTGGCACAGCAAGATAGTGGTCAGTGACTGGGGGCTTCGCATGCCTCCTTCTAAATGAAAAGCAGGACTGTGCTATCAAAAAGTGAACTGTTGTTTTTCCCTTTGCTGAATCTGAGTGATTCAGTTCATTAGATTCTTCCCCACACCTACGCAAAGGTAGGTGCCTCTCAGTTTTTGTAAACTGGACAAGCCTTAATGTGACATGCATAAAATCACTATTAATTTTGCAACATAAGCTTTTTTTGGGGGGCTTGTTAACACTAAGAAAATCAGGAGGATTATGGCTAATGCCCCCATGTTATTTGTGACTGTAATACTGAATTCAGGCACCTGGTGTCAGCGTGGACTGTCAAGGATATTGGAGCATCCAGGGACAGCTCCAGCTGCGCACTTACAGAAAAGTCTGGTGTCAGATTAGCCAAGATGAAGGTTGAATGTTATAGCAAGCCATTGGCTTTACTGCATTTTCATTCTGATGGTGTGCTGTAAGAGGCTGATTTTATGCTAACGTGCTGTCTGGAAGTCAAGGGGTGCCTGCAGGGGTGAGAGCTATCAGTCAATGTTGCTAACAGAGAGGTGTGCCAAGTTATAGTGACTGCAGGTCTGGCAGTGATTCTCATAACTGCTGTCACTGCACAAAATAGGCTGAAGCTAACAGACAGCCTTTAATCTTCAGTTTCAGATTTTTAATTTTCAGTTTCTCATGCCCTAGCAGTACAAATGATAGCAGAAGGTGTACGGATCTCGGCTGCAAATAGTTTTATTCAGCCCCCTCCAGCTGCTGTGTAGCTCATTCCAGTCTGAAGGAGCTGCTCTGGGTAGATCCATCATGTTTTCCTGTCAGCATTATTTCTCACATCAGTAACTGTGTTTGCAGGTGCTGGATTTGATAGAAGCATTCCTGAATAAGCAGTCAGAGAATCCCTTGGTGTTTGATGTTATTGAGCCCCTGCTTCGGGTGATTGAACAGTGCATGAGCTCAGACTCTGACAAGCAGGAGGTTGACTTTCTCCAGAAAACAGCCAATATCTTCAAGTAAGTGTCCTTAGTCCTCCAGATAATAGGCAGTGGCTTTTGATAGATACCAGAGGTGTTGGTTGAATCCCAGAAGTTGGTCTTTCTAAGATCGAAGACAATTGCTTTGCTTATAGATTATGTAGAATTAGTTTACCAGCACCACACATGCACACAGTGCTTAGTCATAACCTGAAGGAAAGAAATTAGGATCTAGGTTTTCTAGTCTAAGGGCCTCCAAGTGCCAAACCTATCTGCAGATGGAAACCTTCAGAACAACTATTGGTGTTGCAGGCATGGTGCCTTGTCATTGAATAGCTCCACAGGCCTCTGATCTCTGAGTCAGACATACCACAACTCCCTAGGCTGACAGTTGCTGCTGTGGCTGGAAGGAAACTCCCAACAAGTTACTGTTGAGACAGAGTGCAAATTCTTTCTGTTCATGGCCAGAAGCAAGACACGATAAAGGCTAGACGAAGACATATCTAGTGTGACATGATGTGTCCTCTGTACACCACTCTCTGGCATTCTCAGTGCTGCTCTAAAGCATTTTCAGTGCTGCCTTCTACCTCCTGTGGAGAAGCTGTTCTGCAGTAGCAGGGTTTGAGGCAGCCAGTCGTCTGTGGGAGCTCTGGAGGAAAGTTGACTCTGGTGCCTGAATAGGTGCTTGAAGGCAAAGACTAGTAAGTCACCTCACCCTTCTTGCCACAGTAATGACTGCCTCTTTTGCTGCCCACAGGTAGCGCCGTTTGTGTTGCCCTGAGCCCCGTGATAAGGGTTCATAGCAATGTTTCTCAGAGTTCTCTATAGGTAATGGCTTTGGGTTTGTTTTTAATGCTCTTTCAGGAACTCATTGTGCCGAACTAAGCAGTACTGCAAGAGAGTAGATGCCCTGCAAGAAGATTTGCATGCTTTCGTGGAGAGGCTTGTGACAAAAGCCTGCAAGCACACTGTCTCTTCAGTGGCTCTTTATTATTTCAGGTGAGTGTTAAAAAGGAGTGTCTCCACTCGGTGCTGTGGGTTGCTCTGTAAGCAGGTGTAATGTTGCATGTTAAAACAGTTCAGAGAAGTGAGAGATTTGTTGAAGGCTAGATACCATCATCTGTGTTTTACATGAGAACTACTCAGTCATCGTGGCAGTCTGAAGCATTTTCAAGCAGATGTCCATTTTTTGGTGATCATTTTCTGTGGGCTCTGTGATGCAGAAAGGGTCTGGTACAGCTTTGCTGATAGTGATGGGAAGCACTTCCTGGAGACTTCATCCAGGAGTAATGAATTGTGTGTAATTTATAGTCAGTCTGCAGTGAACATTGTGTAAATACAGTGGTTTACTGTTTCACAATAGCACAATGAGTACAGTAATGATTATGAGTCCTGACTGTACATACCAGTATTCACTCCTTTGCTGATTACAGGTGAATTATCCTAATCCATATATCTCTTAGGAAACATGAGCAATCTTGTTGTTTCCTGGTGTAAATGGAGTGCCATTTACCAGTAGACACTCCTGTGACTTGCAGGTTGTTTCAGGAGCACTTTTGTGCTCTCTGGGATTTCTCAACACAACTGTGTATGCGGTGGGTACCATGTTGCATGGCCACCCCAGTGCCCTCGGGTGATGTTAGCTCTGCAGCACACCTGGCTTGTGGCTGTGCAGGAACCGTGGTACCTCCTAGCTCTGTGTGCCACGTGGATCCCTGGGAGCTTCCTGGCAGTGGCAGCCCTGAGTGGAGCTGTGCCCAGTTAATACAGCATTTCTCAGAGGCAGTGGACTGTCTGCATGCTCTCTCAGCTGACGTGCCCATGTTCTCGAGGCACAGGGCAGCCTGGGCTGAGAGAGCTGTGCTGCAGTGCTGGCTGGGCTGTTCAAGCTCAGAAATCCTGGGCAAATGCAGAAGTCCTCAAGCAGTGCTAGTCAAAAGCATGAGGAAACCAGGCTGATAGTGGGGTTATCTGACTGTGGTGACAGGTAACAAAATGATGCAGTGTCATAAGATTTATTTTTATCTTTAGGTCTAGCAAGAGTGGGTTAGACTGAGAGAAGGGGCCCTCTTGGACTCCTTAAAACCCCACTTGGTACAGAATAAGCTGCCTGCATCACTTGACCTCTGCCCTCAGGTGGCTTTGCAGTGGTACTGTGACACTGTGGTAATTGCTGTGTTCTCCCCTTTTCCTTTTCTTTTTTAGTGCCTCATTATACCTGCTCAAAGTGTTGAGAGGAAACACATCCGATAAGTCATCAACTCCTCCCCCTCTGCCCGAGAAACAGAGCAACACCATCCCGCAGGCTTGTCAGGTAAGACAGCAGGCTTCTCTTGAGGCTGTGTTTTGTGCCAGTAAATTGCATGACCCCATTTCACTGAGTGGGCCTTGCTTATTCAGTCTTGCTGTTTCTGCTGCCTGCAGATACAAGATTTCTTTTCTGTAAAGCTGTCACATTCCCCATCCCCTCCTGGCCTTTACCCTCCTGCCTTTGCAGTGCCTCCTTGCTCATAGCCACTGGGGGCTGCTGATGTACAGTGGGTCCAAGCTAATTGCCTAAGTCTGACGTATATTTGTGCTGCTGTCCTGGCTGATTTGTTGTTTTTTCCATTAATCTCTTGGCAGTCCTCGTTCTTTTCTTGGAGGGTGCTGAGGAGCAGGGAGGTATAGGACAGTGGTGGATGAGAGTGAACTCCTGTTTCTGTGAGGTTTGGGGTGAGGAGAGTATGGAACAGCCCTGATTTTGGTGGTAGCTGTTTGCAGGGAGACTCTTCATCTGGTTGTGCTACCTGTGTCTATTACTTGGAGAGCTTTACTGTCTGATTCACCTGCTGTCTCTGCTGCGTTTCACAGGTCTCTGCATTTGGTGACTCTTTATATTGGGCATCCCAGACCAGTCACCTCCACTAGAAACCCAGCAAGTAGTATTGCACGAGCTAGCCTGGTACTTGCCTCTGATTGTCTCAGATTGTGAGCAGGAATTAATGCCTTAATCCTGTTGACATTTTATGGGGTGGAAAATAAACAGGGCTACCTCGTGACAGGAAGGGCATGGAAATTACAAACACTGAGATATTATTAGCAACTGAAAAGATAGCCAGTGTTTTTAAGGCTTAGTGAGAGAATGAGTGTTAATCCAAGCAGCTCTTGTTCTGTGCTGGGCCTTTTTGGAAAGAAAAACAAAGTGGGAGATCTGTGGCGAATATAAACAACATACTTGACGTTGAGGCGTGCTTCACAGCATCCTTGTGCAGCTTCACAGGGAGAGCTGCTACTCCTGCCAGAGCAGGGCTGTGGTCTTCACCACCCAAGGACACAGCCAGCAGCTGAAGTGAGTTGCTAGTTTGAGGGAAGCGACACAGTTCAGTTTGTGTGATGCTGTTGGTGCCGACATTGTGTTGAGGTCGGAAAGTTTTTGCAGTGGGGATCCATACACAAATGTGTGGTGTGTTTCCAGTGAGCAGTGCTTCGTGTGTATAATCACAGTAAACAGCAAAGCACAACTAGGGCAGACCCTGTGATGTAGTGGCCAAATTTATGGAAAAGCCTGTTACTACAGAAGAAATTTTTTACAGTAAGCATCTGCATGGGAGGAGGAATTGATTTTTTTCCTTGCAGGTGTGTATGTCAAGTGTTAAGTATAGTCACTTCACCAGGAAACTGGGGTCACATATTTCAGGATCCATCTCCCTTGTTCCATGCTAGCCTGTGTTCGTAGCCCTGGGTGTTCAACCTGAGAATGGGACACAAGGTGAGCATGGCTTTAACTTGCTGTGGGGCCATGGAAGAACTGTGTGAGCAGAGGTTTGCAAAAGGCTCATCCACTGTTGTGAAGATCACAACTTTGATCTCCTGGGCCTTAATTTTTCTTTCTTCCCAAAGAGCTGTGCTTCCCTGTCGGTATGAGAACAGTCAGGAATGTCAGGATACAATGCTCTGCACTTCACTCTTCATTCACCCCTTTGTTGTTTTAGATCCATCTGTCCTGTGCAGGTCTCAGCTGGTTGCTGTGTGTCTGGCTTTCTTGTTCCCCACGAGAGGGGGATATTAGAGCAGTTACACAGGTCTGGGATGGCTGGATCCCTGATTAGAGCTAGGGCTCATCTGCTGGGTACCTGGAAGTCCTGGACATAGCTGCTTAGTGCATATGTACAGATTCAGATCTACCTATCTACCTATTCAGTCCTCTACAGCTGAGGACACATGCGCACAGTGCAGCTGCTGCGGCGTGGCCTCTGAGTGCTCTGTGATCCTCCTGTGTGTTAGACATGCCCAGCACAAACCTAGAAGTACAGCCCCCACACCACACTGCACTACCTGTGGGGTAGGCAGTCTTACTGGCAAGCTGGGCTGCCCTTTGCTAAGGTGATCATATGGCTGTCGGTACTTGGGGAGCATCTTTGGGGCCCACTTAGTTGTTTCTTCATGCGTCTGTGTTGTACCTTTTAGGCCTGTATCATATAAGCTATGGAAAAATACCTAGTTATTGGAAAAATCTGTGTGCACTGGTAGAAATTACTTCACTGCTAGTGATTCATCCTTGTGTTTCACTGGAAGTTTTTTTGTTCTGCCTTTTCCCCTATAGCTTTTGAGCACAGGTTGTTTGGACATGAAGAGGGTGACTGTAATATATCAGCAAGCACTGACACAATTCTTGACTAAACGGAACAGTGCCCTTACAAGCTCCATGTTTCATGATCTCTTCAAGCGCTTCCCGGTAAGTGTTGCCGATTGTGTGGTGTGTTGTCTTCTGGTAGCTCCAAAGTACAGTTGTAATTCTCAGAAAGTAGAGACACATTTCTTTGTGTCATTGGGGGCTTTTAAAACTGCTGTAAGGTTTTCTAGGACCTTCACCTGCTCAGACTCTTAATACTGCATGTTTGGTAACAACACTGCAGAAGACCAGGATCTTATTTGTGGTTTGGATCGAGATACTGTATGGAGAATGTAGGTGAACAGAAAGCTGCTCTTTAAAACCTAGCCTAAGAAGCTCTGATTTTTTGTCAGTATTCAAGACAACATGGATGAACAAGGTTTGCACCAAGGCAGAAAGGGCCAGCTTGTTTAAACTGCTAATGTAGCTGCTGTCTAGCTTTGCTCTGACTGCATGCTCAGTTTATCAGTTTTCTTCCAAGAAGGCTGTAGAGCGTAGAGTCTAATTGGAATTTAATCTGCAAGCTGGATGTTCAGATGGTGTCAGTTCCTGAAATGTTTGAGGCATTTCCTGCAGACTTGACCTATGCCTGGAGCTGATCTGCACTATGAGGACAGCTAGTTTTTAAGAAATAAGTCTTGTGTCTGAATGTCATACAGTTCTTCAGGGATTTTTAGGTCAGAGTGTGGTAGAGACAGTTGCCAGAAGCTCTTTCTCAAGGGCTTCAATCTTTTAGAATTGATGTCTTATGGGAGGGTGAGAGGAGACACAGGCTTGTGTAACTGGGGGAGGTTGCTTTCAGACTCTGAGGGAATCCATGCAGTAGTGAGTTCTGCATACCCAGTTTCACAGGACACCAGCCCATGATGCCACCTACACAAGTTAGTGAAATAAGGGGGAGGGAAGGGTTGTGTGCTGCCCACAGGGACAGCAAGCTTAAGATCCCATCTACAGGTTTCTAGAGCCAGTGAATTCCATGTGACTTGTTCCTTGCAAAAATGTCTTTACAAATCTTCAAGCTCATCTCTTTTATAAAACAAAGGTAATGATACACACAGATACCGGCCTGTTTAAAGCTGGGCTTTGCCCACTTACTAGATCTATCTGTTCTTTTAGTAGTCTTCTTACCCCAGAAGAGAAGCTGTCCAGGTGGTGGGGTTGGAATAACCACCTGCACGATATGTTAGTGCACTGTGCTGCGAACTGCTGTCCATGTTTTGTCAGGGCCAGACCTTTCAGTGCCTGATAGATGACATTAGAGGTGTACTAGCAAAGTATTTTCAATCCAGATGATTTTTCATTTCTTGTGTCTCTCAGTTTGGAAATATTTTGCCTACAAACACAGAAATTGGTGGATTAGGCCAAAACAGGTATCATCAAGCTTTGCAGACAGTTGCCCTCCTCTAGAAAGGTTGTTTTGATCAAGACTTGTTGCAGGGAACAGCGGTAAGATAGGCTGTCCTCCTGACAGTACAGTTGTTTCTGGCCCCTTTAGCACGTGGGTTCACATCTTTCCCACAGCTCTGACATTCTCCAGTTTAACTCAGCATGGTGTCCTTCGCTTCTGGGACTGTTCCTTTGCATGAAGTGAACTGCCTACATAAAGTATCAGGCAGTTGTAGACTTATATCAGGAACCAAGCAGAACACAGGAGGTGAAATCTTTGCCTGATTTTTCCAATTGAAAAGTTTTGCTGCTGATTTCCTGGTGATGAAGATTTCACTCAGGACGGGTGTGAGCAAAGCTGTTAATTTCCAAATAAACTGTTGAATCTCTGGACACTTTTTTTTTTTCTTGTAGCATTTGCTTCTCACGCAAGAAGCTGTGTAAAATCTAGACTGTTTTGCTTGAAAAACAAACCTGTCTGTGAGCAAACTACTAATAAGAAACTGTTCTTTTTTTTTTTTTGTTACAGATCATGTGCAAACCATTAGTAGATATTCTTGTCAAGTCTATCACGGTGGGAGCCAGGCAACATCAGCAGGTAAGAAGGCAAGCAAACAAAACTTGTACAGTCTGTCACAGCTCAGATGTGCTTAATATGCTTATTGCTGCCTATAGGGCTGCCCGGTTTTGAGAAGTGGGCTTCCAGGGGGAGAGCTTTTGCAAATACTGCCTTGCTGCTTCAGGTCTGTGACTAAAGTTGTGGAAGTAGCTCATATACTCACAGTCATGGGGATTCTTTGGTAGCATCTCCTCTAAAAACTGCCTGCAGCTTTCAGGTTGGGGCCTCGTTGTTTTAGGAGTTGCTTCAGTCAGTTATTCGTTGATTACTTTTTTGTAATTGGTAAGATGTTCCTCTGTGTTAATGCAGTGTGTTGTAATCCTTGCCTCTGATTGCTCACTTGAGGTTAACTTCTTGATCCTGCTTCACACCTTGCCAGCTGTCCTGCAGTTTCTAAGCCATATGCTTCTGTGTCTCGTTAAAACCACCTATACTATAGGCTTGATTTTTTGATGGCTGATCGCATGTGCCTGGCTAACACGAAATTAGTGCAGCCTTATCAATAAAATATTGCAGGGTGAGTGCACAGCTCACTGTTGCATGAGCAGGGAGCGAGGCCTGTCTGGATTTTCACTGCAGCATGCTCTGCAGTGGGGGTGCCTTCCATGCAGTTAATAGCCAAAGCCCCTTTAGGTACAGTGTCTCAAACTTTCCTACCCCCCAGCTGTAACATGCATCTGTCCCCTGCAGAAGAGTATCCTAGACTGACCTTTCTGTTTCATAAACAGCTGTTTGATTGTTTGTCATCACTGGAGGGAATGTGAAAGGCTAGGTATGTATTTACAGTAGGGTTGCTTTACATTGTCAATGTAAATTGCATTTCAGGCTCTTTTACCCAACAGGAATGGCTTGGATTTAAAGAACAAAAAAAGAATGAATTAAGCTATTGGTAATTTCAGTGGATAGAAATAAGGGTGTGTTACAATTAATTTGTTTATTATTTGTGTAAGGTACATGCTTTATCCTAAAGAGACCAGGGCAGCATCCCAGGCAGTCAGCTTCATTATGTGGGTATCTTTGCTTCCCCACAGGGAACTGCACTGTCCTTTTTTCAGGGCTTCCACAGTTGTCTGCTCAAGCTTTGTATGGAGGTGCTGTTTATCTGTGGGTGGGAGGAGCAGGGGGGGATGTGCAGTGTGCTATGTGTGGGAGACTGGATAGAGAACATAGATATATATACTACTTTTTAAACAAAGGCAACATGGAGAGTAAGCTGTGTAAAGCCAGTGAAGTTTGGAGTTGCAGCTTTGATTTTTGTATGCTGCTTTCTTTTCAGGAATTCTGATCCTCATCAAATGTCCAATTTGCCAGGTTTTCAATTAAATTTTTCCACTGATTTGCAATATAAATGTACTTTGGTGGTGTCATAGAGGGTAGGGTAGGGGGCCAAGATAGGTGGGTGTATGTGGCAAAGTGATGTCATGGGTAAAGCAGGAGGGTAATTTCTCTGGAGTCTCTGCAGCTCCTAGGGGCTCAGCTATCAAAAGGGCTGTCTTAACTCAGAGTGGACAGCAAAGGTCTCCTGATACTCTGACTTTGGCCAGCCCTGATGATCAAGAAGTAAGTTGGAGTAGTCTGACATTTTCAGCCCCTGAACTTTGGCTTCTGATTATTAAACCAGCTTAGTCCCAGAGACATAAAGCTTAATTCCCCTTCTAACACTCCTGTTATTAATGCTGATTGTTCTGGCTGTGCCTGCTGCGTCTGTATGAACAGCTAATCCCACTGTGATTTCAGCTTCTTGGCTCTGCACATCCCTTTGGCAAAGGAGTCCTTGGGGCCGTGCTGGCTGGGGAGAGCCGTGCTCTGCACGGGAAGGTGGAGGCTTGCAGCTCTGGCCAGGTGTCTCATGCTGGCCTGGCAATGAACTCCAGGGCTCTGGCCCAGCAGGGCTGCTGGCCGCTGCGTTTCCCTGTGTGCTCAGTAAGTCACACAGGTACAGCAAGGCTTGGACCTGCCTGGGCTTTTGTCAAGAAAAGCAAACCTGAACTGTATGTGAAATGTTCTGTTGTAGGCTGCTGCAGGTCTGTCAAACTCAATTTCTAGGCAGTAGGCAGTTGCAAATGAGAGAGGATTATCTAGGAAGTGCAGGAACTAATCAAATGATGCTCAGTTGGTGTTGGCTTGGAGAGGAGCATTCTGGCTTCTCCAGCCCTGGCCATTTGTCCTGACCTTGGAGCCCTTGCTGTCTGTCTGGTGCCCAAGTGTTCATGCAGTTATGTTGCAAAATGGACATGAGGATGATTTGGCTGAAAACCTGCCCCTTGCATATATATTTTTGTTGTTGGTGGTGGTGGTTTTGTTTTCCCCTTTGCCTCCTTTGATCAATTCACTGGTCTTGTTGAAGGCACAGGTATAGTCCTGGGGCATGAGCAGCTGGGTGAAAGCTGTGATTTATTTCATCAAATGGCAGTGTTTGTTAACATGAAATTATGGCTTCTGTGAAGTGAGTACAGGGATATCGGAAAGCAGAGTTTGTCTGTGTGGACTGTAGGCTGTAGCTGATGACTTTGGAGACTGGGTCTTGCATTGCTGCAGCCTTCCTGCACATCCTGTCTCCCACAGTTGCTCACCGCTGAAACCTGGAGAACATCGAACCCCCAGCAGCAATGTTGTGTCTGTAGAGACAGAGGTGTTTGTAGCTATTGGATGGGTGTCACATGCTTTTCTGGGAGGTGCATTTCTTTGTGATGGCTGTAGAGAAGGGTCTTCTGAAGACACCCAAAGGCAGGTGGATCAGAGGGTGCAGCTTGATGCAAAGCTTAGCAGGAAAAAATAGGAAGCTTTAGAACAAAAACTAGATAGCATTACTGACATCATCAGACTTTTTCCTCTGATACTGTTCCTGCATGCTTAAAGCAGCAGTAAGGTTGTTCACTTCCATACTGAAGTAATTTGTAACATAAAATGAACAGCACTTTGGAGATGAGAGCTCTTAAGGCAGTTTTAAACGTGGCTCACAGTAGTTGGATTGGTAGGTTTTCCTAGCTGTAAGCTCAACCTGTGTAACAAGTTTTTAAACTGGAAAGGTGAATTTGTCAGGGGTCTCACTGAGGCAGAACTTGAAACGGAAGCTTGTACATGTGGCTGGGTGCTGTTTGTCTGATGTTACTCCTGGAGTTCAGATGCCTGCAGGAGACAGTAATACAACAGTTTCCCTGGGAAAGGAGAGATCAGTGTCATTTTTGAGTGTGACAAAGGGCAAGGGATGCTTGCCCAGGGAAGGTGTGTTGTCATCCCAACCTGAATTCACTTAGTACCTGTTTAAACCAAAAATATGAGATGAAGTTCCATGTGACAGTGGATTTGCAAAATCACCTTGTTTCAGGCAGTTCATGCATCTGAGCTGGATTTCTTGCCTTTTGTGAGACCACACTGACTGCAGGACACTATGAATCATATTCTGCCTCTTCAAATGCATTGTGGCTCTGGCAGCTGGTGCTTAGAATGCTCGGTGTTAAGTGTTGGCTGGCCTGTTCTCAAACTGCATTTCTTGAAGTGTGAAGCTAAAGACGACTGCTGCCCCACAGGTGCCTCTGTGCCAGTTAAAATGCTTCAGACTTAAAAAAAATGAACACACTAATGTTTGAATGTCTTTACTGAACTGAGAAATCTGTTGGGGTTTTCTGTGTTTTGGTTTGGGTGGGGGTTTTTTGTTTTTTTTTTTTACTATAGTAGCAGTCGGGATCTTTATCCTAAACTCTTGTTGATCCTTGCTTCCCCATATGTGTAAGTTAAATCAACATATAACTTAAAGCTGCCCTATCTTCTCAGAATATGGCCTGCCTCATGTCTGTGATGTGTTCTCAGGCTGCTGTCTGCTGTAGAAAGAGTGAATTGAAATTATGAAATCACTAGACTGTAAGCAGCTACTGTGAAGCTTTTCAAGAGGACCCTCAGTGTGTGAGAAATGCTACACATTAAAGGCAAGGAGGTGGTAAAGAATGAAATTTTGGGGGTATTCTAATCCAGTGTGTTGGATGCGGTTCTGAGAACTGAGGTCCTTGAAATCAGTCACACTAGCTATGACCTTGTACTTGTTGTAATGGCCAGCAGAAATGTCTTCAATGGTAGGAAAATGAGGCCAGTGCAGACATCATGATGTTTTTGTACATATAGACAGATTTGATAGCTTTCTCTTACTGACAGTGTGCTTAACACCTGAAGTGTGTAGCTAATGTTTCTAGAATCCAATACCTGCATGCATACCTTCATAGATACTTGTGCTCTGAGTAGCTCAGGTACGAATGACAGCTTAGGGATACAGTCTGCAGCGATAAGGCTGTTGTGGGAAAATGACAAACCATCAAAAATAGAGCTTGAATTACACCTTTGAGTTGACCTAGTGCTAATGAATTGTGTGAAGCTTCTGGCACAAATGATCCCATTGGCACTTCAGAACCTTGCAGTTAGCCAAGCAGAATGTGTGTGGTGCAGACGGGTGGGGGAGGCTTTGTGCTGTTTTGTTGACTAAGGACGTTGCTGTTGGTCTTCCACAAGCACTGAACACATTCTCTTAAATTCTGTTTCGAAAAAAAAGTGTGAGAGCTTGTTCTCACTTCCTTCTTAATGAAATTTGATCTCACCACTGCAATTGTTCTCCAGGAGGCCTTGACCTTCAAATTACTTCCTTGTGCCTTGTTTCAGTGAGTGCAGTGTAGCTTTTTCAATACACACAGAGGGCTTTTTTTTTTTTTTCTTACTTGTGCTGATGGAATGTAAACCAGGAATCAAGATGTGTTTAATTTAATGATTATTGCATGAATTCTCCTGAGGTGAGGAATGTCTTCCTGGATTATTTTTTAGCAGCATCAGTATGATGACCGTAGGTACAGTAACATCTAGTTTTAGAACTGTGCAGTCTTGGGCTGTCCCTCTGATGCTGTTAGAGCAAAAACCCCCTGGTGGTGCATTGTTACTTGTGTGCCCCCCCCCCCCCCATTCTCATACAAGCTGGAACTGCTAGAGGACTGGATGAG